TCTTTCTTCTCTCTCTCTCTCTCTCTCTCTCTCTCTTTTTCCCGCGAATAGATGCTTACCGGTAATGCCTAGTAGAATCCAGCACACGAGGCACAGGACGTAGTAGTTGACGTAAGAGGACCTCCTCATGGTGATCACGACGACAAAAACGACGACGACGACGACGACGGCGTAACTGTCCCCGACGACGGGTCCACTGACATCTCATGGAACACCCGCGTGCACCTCCAGTCCCTTTCTCGCTCTCCTTCGGCACGTCCCCTCCTAATAATCTTCCGTCGTTGTTCCGCTCATTCTCCAGCAGCAGTAGCAGAGCCGGTGCTACCAGGAATCGCGCATACTCTCCCGCGTTCGCGCGCCGTTGCAACCCTCTCGTTGCAACTTTCCCGCTGCGACCTACTCGTTGTTGCGTTCTCGTTGCGTGCACCCACCGATAACCCTCTCGCTCTCTTCCCCTCCCTCTACTTTTCTCTCTCTCTCTCTCTCTCTCTCGTCTCTTTTTTCCCGACACTATGGTATCACATTATCTTGCCGTATAGAATATATTTGCGCGGATTATCTCACCGAAGGCAAGCAAGGGTGGTTTAACGGAACGAGGCCGAGTTTATATCCAGCGCGTTTCGGGCGGCCTCGCGCGCGGGGTTCACCGTACCCCGTGCACCCGACCGGACCCGCGAAAGGGTACCGATCCCCCTTTGTTACTCCCGAGGAAGACGGCGAAGTGTGTCGCGCGCACCAAGGTCACAAAGCGGTCCACCCGCGTTTCAATCGGTCCTCCGCCTCCCCCCCTCCTCGTCTTCTTTTTTTTTCTTTTTCTACCCTGCGTTTGTACTCCCCGTTGTACGGACACTCGGTACTAGCGCGCGGATCGGTCGGCGGTACTGTGAAACGCGACGCGGGTTTTCCGCACTCGGCTCGTCCGCGGTTCGTCGTCCCGGGCGAAGCTCTGAAACCGCCGGGCCTCCGGTGGCACTGCCCGCGCCCGCCCGGGGATTCCGCGCAGGCGTGCTCTCTCTACTCCGGCGGCGATCAGTCAGCCTCCTCCTTTCTCGAGGCCTTCTGCCTTTTCCGCCGCCGCCGCCGCCGCCGCCGCTGCCGCTGCCGCTGCCGCCGCCGCCGCCGCCGCCGCCGCCGTTGCTGCCTTCCTACCCCCGCATCCCGGCTTTGCGCGCTCCGCTCCGCGCCGCGCAGCTTTCCACTGCACGCTGTACACCCGCTCCAAATTTTTCTTCTCCCTCGCAACGTTCTTCTTGTCTCCTTTGCCTCCTTTGCCTCGTCCTATCTTGTTTCTTTTTCCCTCTCTTCTTTCTTCCTGTCGTTTACCGCTGCTTCCGTCGCTTCTATCGTGTTCTACGCGGCGATGCCGCGATTATTAGTTGCCCCGTGAGCGTGGACAAATTTCACGCTTCTTAAAGGGTGTCGCGGCATCCCTCGTGCTTCTTTTATTTTTTTCTCTTTCTCTATTAGGGTTGAATAGCGTGACCTCGGATCCGTGTCTCCTGCCAGCCGTCGAGGGAAACTTTAAACGTCGCGTTTCACTCGTAAAGCGCGTGTCAGGTCGCGCACCGGAGCGGTTCCCAGCCTGTCGCGATCATCCATCCGCGCTCGTTAATGATCTCCATTAAAGAGCTCCGAAACACTTTAACGGCTCCGTTACTTTTATCTCTATACTTGTACATACTTTCTCTCTCCTCCGGGTTTCTCCGGGTTTCTCCGGGTGCATCGGACATTTTCATATATTACGGTCGCCCTGTTCCTATTTTATCTCTTTTGCTCATACCGTAACGCGCAGATTTCAACCGCGACGATCCCGTCTGAATGGTTTCCCCGAGTTCTTTCCGGATTCTCGGATTCCTTAATCTTTCGCGAGCATATATCTAATGCCTAACCATTAAGACACACTCGGAGTTTCTCTCCGATATTTATGCGACCTAAAAGTTTTTCAGCTTCCGCGATGCGAGAAATAGATCACTCGGAGATGAGATGTGAATTGCATCTACTTATTCTCGAGAAGTGTAATTACGCTCGCGGAAAATGAAATTTTAACGAAAACAATCTGTATAATTGGACATGTATTCATATATTATGTTAAATAATGTTTCGCGAGTATCGTAGCTCGGGCATCTATGCAATATGCAACGTTGAAATTGAGGTAGACCGCCTGGAACGAAATGGCGGAAATGTATTTGGAGTCCCTCATCCCGCCATGAAGCTTCACCTCGCTTCACCGTGGACAAATGTTAAGCCGCTTACGGTATGAATCTTATCCCCGGAGACTGATGTGCCGTGGGCTCGCCTATTTAATAGGAAAAAAATATTGCCGTCGCTTTCATTCGTGTTCTCCTCGAGCGCAACAGACCGGTATCAGCATTCTCGTTCTCCGACGTTTGAACAGTAGGTTCATCGTGTCCCCAATCTTATTCTATTTTCATTTAATCGAAGTTTAATATTAATTGAAACTTTGTGTGCTACTTTTTTATTACTGACATCAGTATGTTATCATTCACTTATCATTATGCGCTTGACATTTTGATATAGTTTTCCTCGTTCTCTCGTTCTATTTACGCTGATAAATAAACAAATATTTATTTATCGACTTTATGGCGAATTTCAATTTATTTTTTCCACTTAATATAATTTGCAATAAAAAGTTTTTCAGTTCGATGTTATCTAGATTAATATCGTTTCCTGCTTTCGCGTCCTCTTCCCGAAATTAACCGCCGTCGTCTCTTTGAAAGTAAGTTTTCGTATCACGGCGAGTTCACGAGACACCGATGTAATTTGCATGAACGACGGTATTTGGCAAATTACATAACTTTTCTCCCTAATGATCGACTGATCCCATCCGTGTTTCTACTTCGGTTATCTTATCTCCTCGCCAACATTACTTTTGCATTTACGTCTTTCGCATATATTGGATAAACTAACGTTATTTACCTTCCTCACTTCGTACAAATATTTAACGTTATTTAACGGAAGTATCAATCTATGATAATAAATATTTCATTAATATAGAAAACCACTAAGTCAAAATAACTTACTCTGATATATATAGAGGGATGCCGTAAGTTTTTTATCATCATTAGATTTTTAAAGCAGTCCATAATTTGTCAGGTAAATAGTAGTAACTTTTTTGACGCTAGGTCAAATACTGCCGCGGGATTATTTGGTTGTCGAAACGGAGCGGTTACGAAAGTCGATCGGCCTGTTCGCTCATCTTTTCCAACTCTTCACCTCACCTTTAGATAACCCGAAGGGTCGTGTCACCGGTAGAAAGTTTTACGCTTTTCACAGCGCATCGACCTGGCTCGGGACGACGTTAACCTTATCGTCAGCGGCTACAGAATTGCGCATCCCCTGCGCGCTGGATTACACCGATAAAGATAAACTTTGCCCGTGTCGGGCGATAAGCCGTCAGGGATCGACCAAAAAAAAAAAAAAAAAAAGTAAGCGGCGGCTCACTCTCGCGGTCGATTATTCATTTATCATCGGCGTATTCACTCGTTCTCTCTCACTTTCTCTTGCCTCGTGTTCTCGCCTCCTTGAACGTTCCACCTTTATTCCGCGTCGGGCTGAAACTTTCAAACGAGCCGCCCGCTGAATTTTTGCACCCTTCGCGAGAGAACTCGCGCGCGCGGAGTTAACGGGCCGGCGTGAGTGGGCCCGAGAGGGCCATTAATAAAATGTCATTTGCCTCTAAGCAATTTTCCGGCTTTTCCGGCAGCGCCCGCGGCAATTTCGTCGTGCGCCGTGTGCGATTCAAATTCCGGCACACGAGAGTTAGCGGCGGAAAATGTTCCGCATTCCTGCAACCGTCGCAGCTATCCGCCGCACTTGTTCGGATTATAGTTACATACTTCGCATACGGTATAACACGCGGAGCTCGCGAGGGTTCTTAAGTGTGTGTGAAGGGGGGGGGGAGCCTTTCGCTTTCCCCCTTCTCCCCTACCCCTCAACGGCGTAGGTACAAGCGGAGAAAAAAGTTTTATAAAATATGAACGCGAGCGTCACACGCAGCCGCAGGTGCATCGGACTGCATACTGTCGCCGCTCTATCCTCCTCCGTGCGAAATCCTCTTCTCTTCCGTTCCGTCGCAGCTCGTCGCGACTAATCTCTTCGCGACGGTTTTACCGGATTCCCCCTCTTCCCCCCTCCTCCCCCCTCCTTTCCCCCCCCCACCGATCCTCGCGTACGGCTCGTCGTCTGACGTAA